AAAAAAAAAAAAAAAAAAAAAAAAAAAAAAAATAAATGGGGGAAAGCAAAACTGCTTAAAAAAAATCTATAAAACCACAGATTAAAGCATTGAATCTTAGCAAAGCTCTAAAAACAGTAGAATAAGTACTTTCAATAATGTTTGGAAACATATTACATATTATCTATATCAAAAGAGTCGTCTAACAGTTATCCCTTCACTAATAAGGGAGTTATTAGCGCATGCATTCTCTTCGCTCTGTCGTCGCACAATGGCACGGTTCTTATTTCCGGCGTTAATATAATCTATGAATCATCATAGAATGCGGTTGCTTTTACAGTTCTTCAGTTAGAGAATTGTAAATATTTCAACTGTTCAGATATTTCCTACCTCAAGATGTAATATGTACAAGTGAAGTAATCCCTGACAGAGTTGTCAGTGATTGTTTACAGAAATTTTGTGCAGTTTATCGCAGTTTCCATACTATAGTTTTCTTTTTTTTTCGTCTATATAATATATAAAGTATAACTAAGGTATATAAACTCTGGTTCTCTCACATTATAATGTTCCATTAATCTATGTCCCATAATGTTTTCCAATTATGATGTTCTCTTTTCCTGCGCTTTATTCTATTTCTCTCTCTCTTCCTTTCTCTCGAAGTTTCATAGTATTTTCAACAATATTTAACAATGGCTTAGGCCTTTCATGAATTACACAGGACGTGTTGATGTACAAATATCAATTACACGATTGAGAATTACGTGGAGAAATATGAATGGCGATTTCAAGATGTATTAAAATAACGTCGCATCTCTTCATTATTCTCACGTTCCTTCTGAATCATCCTCGGATATAGAATGCAGCGCAGTATTGTCTTTTCGTTTCGAAGAAGAAAGCTCGTCTCGTAAATTGCGCGTTTGGATTCACGCAAATCTGAATTCGTGTACAAAACGCAAACCGTCGTAAAGTATCTAGGACGATCCGTCCAAAATATGTGAATGGTTACAATTTTCTTCGTCGTCTCAATTAGAGATCGAAATCAAATGACTGCGAACATATTTCGAGAAAGTAGCTGACGGAGTGTCGACAAACGTGTAATACCTCGATATTATATACAAAGTTAATAGACACTGACACTTATATATCAACACGCCTCGGCATGCCCGCTAAGTTAGCCGCACCAGATCTCATCGAAATTTAAAATTGCACTAAAACCTTTCGCAAGTACTTTACAAGTTTCGAAGAGGATGTGCACTAACGACATTTTTCTAGTAAACACTTTGCTCTTCAAAGGATAATGATGTACTCGTGTTGTGGAGTAAGGGGATGCATAGTATCACAGTTGGCACGTGGGTGCTAGCTACCACTACTGCTTACAGGCAGTGAATGTGGAGCTCCTATAGATGTTGGAGGAGCAGTCAACGGACCTGGAGAAACATTATTTGTTTGAAAGAGAAAAATAAATAATATAAGCGAGATATAATAGTGAGAGTAATCGGAGATTAGAAAAAAGGGCTCCTTAATTCACAACTAAAAATAGAGAAAATAAAGAGGCTTATACACGGCTGTTGTAGTACAATTAAAATTTAAAAAATTTAATTATTTTTATTGCACAACTTTTATAATGTAATTAAAACTTAATTTTTTAATTTTCCTAAAAATTAAAACTTTTTTTTTAATTGCATTACACAGTCGTGCATAGGCTCTTATACTGGCCCTTTTATTATTTTTATATTTCTTTTATTTAATTTTATTTTTTCGGCTTTTGCACCGTGTGAAAAAAAATGCTTAATCTGACTTTCGCAGGTTAACACCGTTAATATTAGTCAAAAAATCAATAAAAAAAAGTATACATGAAAAATGAGTGTTGACTTATTGTTCTTTTATATATAATTATTAAATACTTTTTTTTATACAATAGTTTCTTTTTATATTTACCAGTTACAACAGGTGAAGGCTCGGAGATTGGCAATGGACTAATAAGGCTATTAGCACTCATCGGTGTCAAATTGGCCTTCATTTTCTGTCTGACCTCCCGAATCTTTAATTGCAAGCTCGGTTTGGTAGGAAATATATCCGAATGCTTAGCTTGAAACGTGGAAGTGGCCTGCGTAGATGGGAAATAACCGTGTTCCTGAAATAACTGCATGACCAGATGTCTGCGTTGCTCCAAGATTTTCCTATGACCGCGCTCGTTGTCGCTCCTGCCGATTCCCACGGCACTTCCGGCACCGCCACTGGGCGTTTTTGGCGTTCGCGGGGAACTAGCATCGACGTCGATCAGATCGTTGTTGGCTCGATAAGCATCGATATTGAAATCTGGGCCGAAGAATGTATTGCCTGTTAGCTTGACGCTTGAGGTGGACTTTGGAGTAGCCGATATTGATGTGTCCGAGTCGATCTCATCCTCATTCACTGTTGAGGAAATGTAAATTTGTTAATACAATTGTACACATAATCCCGATACGATGTTACAAATTATAACATGGAATATTACTTGTGGGCCTATGAGGTCCTTGTGCAGACTTTTTTCGATAACCTGGCATCTGCATAGAAGTTTGTAAATTCGACGAATGTAATCCGGAAGCTACACTACTATGGCTAGATGAACCTGGAGTGTTTATACTCGGACTCTGTATATCCCCTGGTTTGAATTCCGGCAATGACGAAAACTTCTCTTGAAAGTTCACTTGTTCGAGTACTCTGTGAACATACCGTTGATGCGTTCGTATAACATCAGATTTGATCTGATCTTGAGCACGAAGAAGTGTTAAGAATGAAAGGAATAAAAGCTTTCTTTAGTACAATAGTTATGATACGATTAAAAAGAGAGAAATTCAAAATGTATCTCGACAGTACCTGTCCATACCATCCTCCACGTTTTTCTTGAAGAAAGAAGCCTTCTTAACGGAGGGAGAAGGGGAAGTATGAGATTCTGCTAAACCTTGTTGTTGGGTCTGCTCTGACGCTTGAGATGTATTGGTTTGCAGTCGATTATCACAATGTTGAGACGTCATTGGCCCATGATCTCCTGCATTTGAAACGGGAGGCAGTGCTGTCGAGATAAAAGAAAATAAAATGAAAGGAAAATAAGAGCGAAAGAAGAAGCTAGAAAAGGCACATATACCTATATTATACGCTAGATTATTAATTTCTCTAGTTATTGTAAGTAAGAATTGGTCCCAAAAATTATACATTATACATTTAAATAAATATATGTGCATCCGTGGCGTAAGTAGTATAAAAGACGTTATGTAATATGATCGATGTCTACAGAAATAACATTTTAGATTGTATATAAATAAATAAATAAATAAATATATATATAAAAAAAAGAAATAACGCCCTTACTGAAGAAGAGTAACGGTAACATTGCAAGTAGCGTGTTAGTTTCTAATTCTGTTCATATTTTTCACTTTTACATCAATCTCGAAATGTATTATTGCGTACCCATTGATTGTCTCCTTTGCAATGGTGCACGACCGAGTTGTGCCGGAGTTGGAGCGAGCATGAAAGGACCCTTGCTCGGTCCTATGTCGTTGTTCTGGCTCTCATCGAACGAATACGATTTACTTGATGGCAGATCACCAGTTCCGTGATTGCTCTGAGGTGTCTGCGGTGTATGAGGCGTCGATGGTTGCTTGTGCTTATCACTGGTTGTGGGAAGAACAATGTTCACGGTCTCCTTCCTATCTTCCGTTTTTACATTACTGACTGCAATGGGCAACGGGGGAGAATAATATGAAAATTGCTCATGAAAATGGTATACGATAACAGTACAAAAATCACGAGGAAAAAAAAATTCATCCAAGAATTACCGTAAAACTGAGCGTGATTCGTAGCCAGCTGATTGTCACTATTCTCAGATTCCGCAAGGCGGGCAATGGAATGGCCAATCCCTCGGTAAGTTGATGTGGTAGAATTCGTCGAAACCGGGTAGGGTTTGCTCACAATCACACTTTGAATTTCCATCTTGTTATTTGGAACCAAGTTTTGCACGGATATAGAATTGTTGCGATTACCGGCGTCTGTAATAGGATTATAGATTTGTTTTTTGTCTCGCGAGGGAGCAACGTAGCACTAACTTTCTTGATACTTACCAGAGATGGGTATCTGGAATCCACCGAACATCCTGGGGTGCGATGGTGTCGGGTTAAGGTACTGCGATCCCTGCTGCGGTTTGGAAACAGCCACCAAATCGTTATCGAGCAATGTTAGAGTGAACGGTGGTTGATAAGGGACAGTTGAAGTAAGGGGACGAAGAGTAGTGCCTAACGACTGCAACGGCTGCTGTTGTTTCAACAGCGCCATCATAGGTTTCGATCCAATCTGTTAGTATTGTTAAACTCGTTAACGTGATCCCTGAATCTATCTACAATTTGCTCGGCATACTATCGCAGAAGAAACGTGCGTACTACTTTCTTAAAAGCGGACAATTGCTTCGTGATTAAAAATAATCTCGATGTCGTCACGGGGGAAACTAAGAAGTATGTAAAATAATAAGTAATCGCATGAAGATGGTTTACCTAAAATGTTCATAGACATTTTTTCTTCTTGAGTGAGAACAATGTTGCGTTGCATCATCATTTTTGCAATTTTCCTGAACGTTTATGCGCGTATGAATGAGATGTTTTAAGACAGTAAAAACAAATATTAAACTTTCCATGAAACTATTGCTAATGACTTATGAGTTCATGAATATGACTCTAAGATAAAGCCATTAAGTAATGAATAGAAGCAGCACGAAGAAAAGTGAGGCCAAGAAGTTCTAGAAATATTTTCAGCAGTGGAAGAAATGTTGCAATATGCGGCTAAATGGCTATTTTAAAGAAGATGCAACTTAATATCCGAATTTTTTCAAAAGTATTGTCTACGAACTTTTTGGATAAATCACGAATATATGCGGAAATATATTGATCTAAAAAGCTGCCATCAAAAGAACGTCCAATAGTTTTGGGATGATCTGTGTTATCAAAAGTGCAGCAGAGAGAGCAATGGTGAACTGAGTGCATAATTTTTAATGTCCAAGCCGGCCAACCTATAACTTTGAAGATCCATCTTAGACATTTCTTCTTATCTAAAGTAGATCCTAAAAATTACGGATTCGCTCCATTCATGTCTTGAACTTTCTATACGTACAACAAACTTGTATATTCTCAATGAATCAAAAGTGTTCAAGCGAAATATCGTATTCTTGCGACATTTGCGGTGCACGAGTCTCTCTCTCTCTCTCTCTACTAATCGCAAAAATGTGCACTAAAATATCTCATTTCCGTTTAATACTTACAGAGTGTAACACCGGAGCTGCTGTGAACTTAGGCATGTTCCGTCCGTTTTCAGTATGGATGTTTACGAGATTGCTCATGTTGTACTGATTGTTGTATTGTTGCTCGCCCTTCACCGGCTCCGGTTTAATAACTTTCGGCGATATTGGCATAGTTATGAAAGCGCCGCCGGTGGGTTGAAATCCTGACACTCCTGTTGGATTGACAGGACTGTGATAAGGATACGTACTCGACAAAACTGATACAGTACCGCCTTTATCCATGGAAGTATGGTGATATTTTGTTGTAGATTCTATACCTGTTGAAGGTATCCGTGCTACATAAACATTAAGATTCACATTGTTAAAACATATCGATCTACTTCTATACTGCACATAAACGTTTGTTCGAAAGTTTCAGCTTAGTACCTTTTATCGGTTTAGGCCTGCAGGTTATTTCCTGTTTAACATTGACTGCTTCTCGCTTCTGACCGCTCACAGGCGAGAATTGCGATTGGTTGAAGCATTTCTTTTCTGCGTCTTCGTCCTGCACGTCGTTATCACTGTCTGTTAATTTGTCTTTGCATTTCAAGTCTATTTCCGGTTGAGGGTCTTCGCAAATAACCATCTGATCGTCGTCGGATCCGTTCCCGTCGTCGTCTTGTTTAACATCAACATCCGCGTTCTCAACTTGTAATGGAATCTCTGCGATTCGATGTTGCGTGTGCGACTGGTTCATGATCTGTATCGATAATGCCGTCAATTATGCCAATCTACTTATTCTGTTTTTAAAGGAAACGTCATAATAGACTGATGTATGTAAATTTAGCAGCAACTTTACTAGTTGATTTGTAAAAGTTACCTCCCTTATGAATGATTTCATGGCACTTATATTTGTCATATGAAGCGATAAGATAAAAATACAAAAGAAATATGAAAAATATGATGAAAAGAACAATGGTAAAAAAAAAACCGTTTTTTGCCTACTGAAACAAACGTGAAAACGTTATCATTCCTTACTTAATTTGGACCAGCTAAACACAGTGGTGCTATTAGAATTACTCGGAAACATCAGGAACATTTTCCATTTTGAAGTTGTATTTCATTACAAGTATTGCCGAACCTGTCGATATTGTTGAGAGAAATCGCTATCTGCAAATACACAAACCACAAACAAGTGTGGAATATTTTTAGTATCAATTAGATAACTGATTTCCGATATCTAAAATGGCTGATTCAAAATGACGTTTATCTGAGCGAAAGTCATCGATTTTACTAGGAGAAAAAAGTTAATAATGTTAAAACTTTACCTATCTTACATTTTACTAGGTATTCAAAGCTAACTAAGCCAACGGCACACGATGCTTGTTTTCATGCTGGATTGCTTGTTGGATGGAAATACTCTATTCTGATTGATACATTTCTGAAGACGGAACAATCAGAATAGAGTATTTCCATCCAGCAAACAATCCAGCATGAAAACAAACATCGTGTGCCGCTGGCTTAAGTTGAAGATGAATTTAGTTTTTTCTTTTTTAATGGAACATCCTATATAGCGACTTCTTGCAACAAAACTGAATTATTTTAATTGTCATCTTATAGAGTTGCAAAACCCTAGTAAAAATGACGGACAGAAAACGCATCCTATCCGTTTCTGTCTGTTTTACTATGTGTTTCTTGCATTGCAATTACGGACAAATACGGATAGAATATGTTCATAATCTATCTGTTTCTGTCTGCAAAAACGTACAGGCATCCTGTCCGTTTCTGACTGCAAATGCGTATACGCATCCTGTCCGTTTCTGTCTGCAAATGTGTATACGCAACCTGTCGGTTCCTATCTGCAAATGTATACGCATCCTGTCCGTTCCCAGACAACACAAAATATTTATAAAACATTTATAAAATATTTATAAAATTTACTTGAATATTTTATAAATATTTATTAAAATAAATTTGTGACCTTAGATTCAGTAGATGATAAATATTTATGATAAATATTATATATATATATATAAAAATATTTATTGAAATATATATATTTTTCTCTTTTCCTAAACTTTTTTTAAATTTTCCACTTTAGTATTTCACACGCTACTTTATTCAATGTAAATTGTACTTCGAAAATTTGTTTACCAATTACTGAAATTCGAACTTGAGACCTCTGATTCTTGAGTTGTTTATCTTACCTATTGCGTCACTGTCACTTTGACTGAGAGACGCATCGTATTGTATACATATAGTATATCCATGTGCGAAAACAAATAATTTATTTAAAAGAAAAGAATAGATTCTTTTACATGTAAAAAGTATGTTCAAAAAGTATGTGAAAAGTATATTTAAAAAATATTTACTTGTTTTAAAAGTAAGTAAAATGCAAATAGTAAAGTAAGTCATTTTGTAAATTTAAAAAAATTCTTTTCTGATAATAAAAGAAATTTTAATTTGAAACACGAAAAAGATATGAATATTTATCATAAATATTGTGTGCTGTCTGATTTTCTGTCTGAAAATTGTGTCCGAGATAGAATTAAACGCGCCATGTTGAGCATGAGCATATTACTTTCATCAGGTTGACCCAGGTAGAACAAAAACGTATAAAAGTCAAAATGACGTTAAATTATGTAAAAGTGATGCCATCTTGACGTCAAACGATATCATTTTCATGACAATTTCATGATAATGATGTCAAAATGGTATCATCTTGACATCAAAATGATTTTGTGTTCTACCTGGGCAGCGAGTCGTTTTGCTTTTATCAAAATTTGATAATATTTGAAAATAATATATATTCTACGATACAATAATCTTTTAATAACAGGAAATTGTATGTACTAAATATCTTTATTTTCATTATGAAGTTTTGATAAAAGCAAAACTACTCGCTATTGGCCAGCCCGATGAAAATAATATGCTCATGCTTAACATAGCGCGTTTGATTCTATCTCGGACACAACTTTCGGCTCATGCCCTATTCATATATTTTTGAGATTAGTGTAATAAACAGATGCTTTGTCTGTGGTGAGAAATTACATAATCATAAACCTTCAAAAGCAGGTCGATATCTATGTATGAGTCTACCGACAGAAAAAAAACGGTTAGGAGCGTATGTGCATTAGCAGTAAGAAACGGATATAGCAGGGCAGGTCGTCTTTATATACATAGGTGCAGATAAATATCCTAGCTGGTTCTACAAACAGAAACGTAAAAGCATATCCACATTTGCAGACAGAAACAGATAGGATTGCTGCACGTAATTGCGAACATATGCAGATAGAAATTATGGCGTATAGGATGCAGGCAGAGCCTGGCAGGATTCCTGTACATAATTGCGGACAGATGCAGATAGGAATCGCGACATATAGAATACAGACAGCAACAGATATAATTCCTATATGTAATTGTGGACAGATACAGGTGAAGTGTGATTACGTGCAGGATGCGGACAAAAACGGATAAGATTGCTGTACGTAATTGCGGATAGATGCAAATAAGAATTTCGGCGTATAGAATGTGGACAGAAACGGATAGGATTCTTATACGTAATTGCAGACAGATACAGATAAAACGTGATTATATGCGGACAGAAATGGATAGGATTATTGTACGTAATTGCGGACAAATACAGATAGGAATTGGGATGTATAGGATGCAGGCAGAGCCTGACAGGATTCCTGCACGTAATTGCGGACAGATGCAGATAGGAATCATGACGTATAGAATGCAGACAGCAATGGATAGGATTCCTATATGTAATTGCGGACAAATACAGGTGAAGTGTGATTACGTGCAGAATGCGGACAGAAACGGATGGAATTGCTGTACGTAACTGCGAACAGATGCACAGATAGGAATTGTGGCGTATAGGATGTAGTCAGAGACCGACAGGATTCCTGTACGTAATTGCGGACAAATTCAGATAGGAATCGCGGCGTATAGGATGCAGACAGAAACCGACACAATTTCTGTGCATAATTACGGACAAATGCAATTGAAATGTGATTACGTACAGGATATGGACAGAAACGGATAGAATGTACTGTTGCAAATGCAGATTTTCTATCCGCATGTTGTATTTGCAGATAGAACGGACAGGTTACAGTTAGAAACGGATAGAAATCCTGTCTGTTTCTGTCCGTTATTTTTACCAGGGAACATGGAAATAGGGAACAACAGGTGCTTACCTAAAACCCAAAAATCTGTTAATCTAAAAGCCTAATAAAAGATAAAATAAACACATTATTAAAATATAAAATAACCCTAAAATAGAATAATCTTAAATTCAAAACTGTGCCATATTGGATCCGTTATTTTAAATATCGGAAGTTAGTCATCTAATATATACTGAAAATATCCTGCATTTGTTTACAGTTTGTGTATTTGCAGATAGCAATTTCCCTTACAAGATCGATAGGTTCGACAATACTTGTAACAATATAGAGGATTATCTGGAGAAACAACTTTAACTTCAAAATGGAAGATGTTTCCGGTGTTTCCCGATAATTCTAATAGCACCACTATATTTAGCTGGACAAAATTAGTAAGGAATGATAACGTTTTCACGTTTGTCTTAGTAGGCAAAAACAGCCTTTTTTTACCATTGTTTTTTGCCTAAAACAATATGCAAAATGTAATATATAAATCTAAGTATAACTTTTAGTAAATTTGTTTTTGCATCAATATAAAAAAAATTTACATTATATTGCATAATATTGCATGATGTAAATTTAAAGTAATTCAATATAGTATATTTATTTACTTCATAAATATAATTTAAAAAATTATAGAGTTTCCATCATTGACTCTCTCACGTCATGAAAACCATGAAAGTTTATTTGGGTGTAAAGTAAATAAAAAGTTTATCGAAAATGTTTCTTTTACCTCGATATTAGTGGGAGGAGCTTCGTTATACGCAGTAGTGATCGGTATGGGCAGTTCGTCGACGGGCGCGACAGCAAGCGGATCTTCCGAGGAAGAGCTCTGTAAGGGATCTGTTTCTTCGCCCGTACTGTTTAACTTTGCCCTGGTTTCGCTTCCTTTGAAGCTTCCCGTCGACGACTTTCGTCTATCCTTGCTACACCACTTCCAATCTGGGTACGCTTTAAAATGCGCCTCCTTTACCTCCGAGGCAAGATCGTGATACTTTTGTTTCTCCTCTGGTCCCAACGCGTACCACCATTCACCCAATATCTTCGATACTGTGCGGTTATCTTGGTTCGGGTGTCGTTGATGTACAACAGCGCGATGTCGTTTCGAGAAAATCATAAATGCGTTCATGGGCCGTCGTATCCTGTCTTTAGTCTGTAAAATAGAAAAGGAATTCATAAAAAAAAGCATGATAACACGCAACAAAAATATTAGGTCTATTCTTTTTAGCTAAATTAGATCACCTTACTTTTTGCCTTTAGAATGGAACAATGGAAGAATTGAAAGGAAAATAAAGTTCTAGTGCAGCTAAAAAGAACAAGTTTATTATTTATTTAAATATATGCGATAATCACGACGATTATGGAGAAGCTTACTTTTAGTGGACTTTGCGGTTCCTTCGATTGCAAAGCACTGAGCGACTGACTGCGTCTCTTATTAGTGTTAGCTTCCACTTCTGCGGGTGGAGTAGGTTCTGCTTCAAAAACGTCATCATCCTCTTCTTCGGCGGGTATTATGGGATCTGAACCAGTACCAGGGCCATCTTCAGCAGGAGTGCTCATACTTATTGGAATTGGAGGTGCGCTCAGGGGTGGGCTCAGAGCAGAAGGAGGAGGGCTCACCTCTGATCGTTCCAGAACTGTCGTCTGCCAGGAAAAAGCTGCAATGAAGTTAGTGGGTTAGTTGCGATGAGTGTGGTTAGTAATGACGCGGGAATAGCAGCCGACATAATGTTATAATGAGCTTTATGTAGACGTGTTCGCTGCTATATCCCTAAGAGGTATAATGAGTTAGTGATAATGCAATGAATTAAACTGTTAGTATTAAACTGATTAAAATACCGTGAGAAAAAAACGGCATTTGGAGGATTACTTGGCATCTACAGATCTTTTATAGTAATACGTAACTGAAGCGTAAATATAACTGATCGACCTAATTCAAGGGCAAAATAAATATCAGCAAGAAACCCTTCCCCAGCATTAAAGTTCTTGTCGTAAATGGATTTTTACTCATATATGTTAAATGAGATGAGCAGTTAAGAGATGAGAATAAAGTTTGAGGCAATTGATTGCGTCTGTTGCAAGATTGGCAATGGTACATGGGAAAAAAACAGCGAAATCAGAAAAATACCTCACGTAGAAAAATAATTTACAACAAATCTAGATATTAATATCGTACTTGGGCAGCAAATTTATTAACTTTCTTCGAATTTATGTTCAAGAGAATAAAATACTTTTGTCGGTACCAGTGTCATGACATTAAAAATATACAAAGTATAAATCAAAGAAAAAAAATATATAAATATAAAAAAGATATTTCAAAGTCTAAGTACTTCTTTTAAAGTAACAGTTAAATATATGTACTTAATATTAACAAATAAATATGCTTAAGTACAGAGCTATGTACCATTGGCAAATTGCAAGCTACAGCAATTCGACAGACGTGATACATTTCAGTTGGCAGTCAGGACTCAAACCTTTTTTCCAGTTGCGCACTGCATTGTTCAGTAATGATGGGGGATGGGGCTGGTATGCAGGAGAAACTTCGTGGCTGCCATCTGTGAAAGCCTTACCGTTTAGTCAAACTTGCTTGTACTATCGATTCGATATTACGATATTAGGGAGTCGTCGTGTAAAACAATCACTTTTGTACAACAAAGTGAAATAAAACGTGAACAAAATATCATTAACGCTTGCATGAAACACAAAAAAACGCTCGACTGTCAAACTTAAACATTCTCAACGAATTACTGTCAAAAGTATAAAGATAGAGGTGTTATTAGAAATATAAGGATCGCTGTATAAGTCACGTGTAAGACTGACGCGTGTCTACCGTACAACATAGAACTTACAGAGGATACCGTTGTTCTTCACATTCTCTTCTCTAGCGGGCTGGGCCTTAGGAATCTGCACCAAATGTCCGGACTGAACAATTACGTGCTGGAAGACGCTTGTCGGAGTAGACGGATCGGATGCTTCTGTGGTGGATGTCATCACAACGCTCGTAGGCGGTGGCTGATTTCTCTGCATGTCCATATGCACGGTAGCGTGCGTCCCCACTTTATTCACCTAACAACACCAATTGTAGGACGTGATCGACTTATTCTGCGCGGCCTTAAATCATAATATATCTATAATATGCTACCATTTATGTCACAAAGTCGCCAAAAATAAAATTGACGATTTACTTTTAACGATCAACTTACAGGTTGCAAAACGGACAGTTTGTCGATGTGGACGGATGAAACCGCGGATGACTGAGGCGGCTGGCATTGAACTTGGTTGAACGTCGACAGTGGGCCCATGTGATTAATCAGGCCCTGTCGATATTTGTCCTCCTGATTGCTGACGTGCGCAGCTGCCGGCCCGTCCATGCTGTTCTTGATCACGACGTATTGATGCTTCTTCTCGTGCTGATGCTGCATCACGTAAATTGGTTGGTTTTGCGGCTGCGGCTGCGCGTAATCAACCGGTTGCTCCAACGGCTTATGTATGAGCGCCAAGTTTTGCGGCGTCGGTGTCGGCAACGTCATGTGCGGCGAGTGCGACGGTTTGATCAGTTGCGTGTTTTGCTCGGCCATTTCGGTGTGGTGATTGGCAAAGTCGCTGCTCGACGCTTGCAGCGCGTGCTGCAGGATTATGCCTTGCTGTTGCTGGGCGATAGACGTGACTACCGAAGGGTGTCTCGTCGGTGGCGGACTCTGCTCCGACCATGGCAGAGTCAGATTCTGTCCAGGTATGGTAGCGCGAGTCACCGGGGAGATTCTTATCACGCTTGTCCCCATACTCGCGGGGACAGGCGCCGTCGGGGCTGGTCTGTTTGATCGGACCACCCGATTCGGTTCAGGTTTGATCACCTGCTGCGGATACTGCACCAAGAAGTTCGACTGCGTGGGCGAATGCTTCCACTTTGCGCCAGGCGAAATCAGGGGTGTCGCGTGATGAGCGGGACTTGAGATGGGCATGAATACGTTGTTCTGGTTGAGTCCCAGCGGCGGTACCGGTGATTGGTTTATGCATGGCGATATAGAGGACTGGCCTGTCGGTGACGAGAAAGCTGGCGTAGCCGATCTGGAGCTCCCCAGAGACACTGTAATATTATGAAATTGTGTCATTTTTTACACGAGAAAGATTATCGCAAACATTAAGGATTAATTTTTAGTCAATAAAAGTCGCGTAAGGATGTTGATAGCGAATAATCTCTTACGGAAGAATAATAATGTCGACGATATATTTTATGCATTAAGACATTTTCAATCAGCACATAGGCTAGGATTTAAATATCTGCCACTGTATGTTTGTATATTAGATCAAAATAAGCAAAAAAATTCTCTACTATTTTCCAAATGACAACGTACATGTTTAGTTATTAATTAAAGAAGTTTAGTGTTCAGTTGTGCATGATAATGCCAATCTTTTTTAATTAATAAAACATCTACGTGATCATTTGCAAAAAATATTAAAAGACTTTTATGTTCAATTTGACTTAATACACAAACATACAGTGGCAAACGTCATCACAGCTTACCGTATAGCGTGTGATCGAGAAAATGTTTCGGCGCGTGTAATACATCTTTGATATTGTTACCTTCCCTCAACAAATTATTATTCGCTATCACCATTTTTGTGTGGCTTTTATTCGCCAAAAATTAATGTTTAGTAATTGAATTAAGATTATAAATTATATTTTAAGGCATATTCAAATAATGAAATTTCAAAGTGTGAACCAATTTGAATATTCGGAACTCGAAGGTAAGATTGTTGTATCTTTAGTAAAGATATTTAAACTGATATTAATTACACATAATTTTTTTATATTTCGCAGAAATAATTATCTACTAAAGATTTGCAGGAATCATAATAAAGAACCTGTAGCGAAGAGTTGCGAAATAGATAAAGGCATTTTTCGAGCAACAAAGAAAATCACATTGTAATAATGATATTCGAAATAAAAACAAGATAATTTATTGAAATAAGTATTGCACAGAAAGTGCAATTCATATTTTAACTTATAAATTTTGGAGAGCCTAATTGCAAAATTGGATTTTGTATTGCAATTTGCACTTTGGAAGGAAGATTGTCAAAATAGTTTGGTGAGCAAATACAACGTCTGCAACGGGGCAAAATACAAAAATTTCAGATACTATGGAAAGTGTAGCTCAGCTACACTAACTTCCAACTATTGCGTTTGCGTGTACGATGTTTCGTGCTCTTCAAAGCCTCCAAAGTCAGATCAGGATTTGCTGTTCTCGGTTCCTGAAGACTATTAAGAGCTTTTATATCTCAAATCTTCGAATAGAATTCAAAGAATCGAAATTTCGTATATATCGAAGTACTATTTCTAGATTGAATATCTGAGAGCTTTAATATCGTTTCCTGTATTATCGCGAAGCTTCAATCCTTTAAAAATCACTGAGTCAATCATTGCATGCAAAAGACACGACAAAATGGTCTAATTGTCATAAGTGCAAAAAAAGAGATAATTTTTATTATTAAACATGGGAGATTACCGAGCATATTAGCAGCTTCAGTTTCATCTTGATCGAATCTACCCGCTATTCTTCTGTCACCGTAATTCGGCGAAGTGTCGGAATCTCTTGACGTTTCTTCGCCGTCCATTTTGCCACTAAAAAACACAAATTGCATTGTCATATGGATTTGTAACAAATATAATTTAATAGACGTAACGTAGAGCACTTGATACAATGCGACGTTATTGAAGTTTTAATGTGCAGAACTGGAGATGTAAAATTACTATCAGCTTTAAAGTGACGAGTAAGTTTTACTTGCGATAAAATTACGGTAAGATGGTAATTTATTGATAATTTTGGTAAAATTCGTTGTTTTTTACAGTTTCATGCACAAATATTTGTTTTTCGCATTAATGCATAAGATAAACCAACATTCTTCTTATATTCTCATCAAATATACATCTGATAATCTCTGAAACGTCTCTCAGATGAAAGAGAGGAAACTATTTACAACTTTTCGAGAATATTAAAGTTTTTATTTTTTAAAATACCACTAAAAATTTTCAATTATATACCACAGTCTAGTCGCTGAAACAGCAAGGTAATAAATAAAAATGCTGTAACCCTGTAAGATGTTATAAAAAATATAGATTGAAGTTGTTTCCAAGGTATGAAAGTAATATTAGTAATAGATTGAGACTTTAGAATTCTTTTAAGTTTCTCTAGTTACTATATATCCAGTTTCTTAATTATAATATATTCTACAATATATTGATATACTATATATAGATATACTATACATAGTATATCAATATACAGTATCAAAATATTTTATAAGAAATATGAAGTCAATATGAAGTGTCTTACTCACATCTTAAAGGCTAAATGCTTCTTTTGAACTTTATATTAAAACGTTTTATTTCTTCTAAATTATTATTTTACCAGTTTTTACCGAACGATTTACCGTAAATTACCGAGTAAGTTAATATCAGACTGGGTCATTTTGATTTTTATGCAAAATGTTCTTACCCAGGAATCGTGTTCGTCGGGCCTCTAAGGCCAGATCCTTTCAAATTAAGATGACGAGAACAGTAGCCTCTTCGTTGACTCTCTTTGCGGCATCCGTCGGAAGAGCTACAAAGTCTGCGCCATTGTTTCCCGTTGAATTTCTTTCTAATTCCGCTCGGTGTAACCACTATATCACCCTTTTTATACCTATGTGGCGTTGCCGCCTGAGATCTGTTATAAAATAAAATAAAAAAGCTTGCGTGATGTGACTAATTAATACACCTTAATTTGACTATCCACACACACGCGCGCGCGCGCGAAACTTATTATCGAGAGTTAATATGTTTAATAATATTAATACCTGGGTGTGGCTGCCTGAGAACGAGGCGTTATACTACGTTGTTCAACTAGGCTACTGGTACTTCCTCGGCTCTGCATACTGCTTCTTTTGCTGCTTCCTGACAATTTTGCATCTGTCAGTTGAATATACCTGAATTACTATACTATTGTTTCGATTAAAATGTGTACGCACAATAAAAACATTGAATCTATTGAGTGTTGCGCTCGTACAAAAGTTGCCAACCGTCCTCTATAATATACCTAGTGTATGAAAGCGAATTATCATTGCCTAATATCTAACCTGCGTCCGAAGGAAATGTAATATCTTCTCTGTCTAAGTCGTCCTCGCTTTCTAAATCGTCGTACACCCGGCTGCCGTTACTTAACGCAGTACTGGCAGAGTGCGCAGAAGTGCCTAAGGTCATGAGAGGACTGGTGCCGGTCGTTCTATAATAGCTCGTGTCATTATGAGACGATATATGCGATGCGTGATGAGAAGTGTGATGGATTTGCAAAATTGGCACTGCTGTCGGAGCTTCCGTGGCATTGCGATACCCGTGATCTGGTAAACAGCAAATTTCGAAGGCAAACACATTACAATGACGCGGCGAGAAAATCATTTGATTCTGAGAGGCGCATCTTTTCCTGTAGTGTGAACTCGTGAAAATTGAACATTTCTATATCTTTTCAGGCTAGAAAATGTTCAATTTCCAAGAGTTCACGAGTGATTGGAGGAAAAGATTTACAGTCGAGCCCCGGTTTTGATAATGAAAGGGAGAATTATTACCAATAGTTTCAATCCTCGAAGGATCGCATTCCTCCAGCCCCTCCTCCAACTCATCCGCCCATAATGGTTGCACTAGTCGCAAGTCCGCGCGCTTCACAAGGTAACTATCATTCTGATCGTCCTCCCGCGGTACTTTCACAACAAAACGATAAGGCTTCGTTAATATTTTGCACACTGTCCCCTTAACAAACACCTTCGCCGCGTCTACGTGGCTCGGATCCACGTGACCCGCGTCTACATTGCTCGCGTCCACGTGACTGTTCGTGATTGGATGCATGACAGTTTGTCTAATGCAAACTCTCGCATCCAATGTCACTTGCCCTAGAGATGGGCTCGCGTCACCTATCACGTCGTATCTCCCGGCACCCAGAACGTCACTATACACTTGTTTTCTCTTGTCGTCGAACTCAATGAGAATCTCTCCGTGAGCCTCCCCGACATTACGTATTACACCTGGATAATAACATGAATCCCTTAAAGCTAACACTCTGTGGTCGCGCCATTCACTGAGATCAATAACAACGGTTGCAGGTCGAGGACGAGAACGTAACGGTTCCTCGCGAAGAGAATAATCCACCGCCGTGCTTTGAGGAGGTAACACCACTACTGAATGGGCTGAAGATACCTACAAACACATCGTAAATAAAGATTTATATAGTTATAAATTCACTACAATTATTACCAATAGTTATTATTACAGATGTTTGATAATTCGTCGCTATGGAACTATACGATGGTGTACGATTAGATCAAATTGAACATGGAAACATAGAATCTTCTACTATTTTGCGAACAACCATATAAAATTGTAAATTATTAATTAAAAAAGATTGATAAGTGATCACGGGGTATATGAACTGCATTAACGACGCCTGCTATCGTACTGCTGGTGTACGAATAGATCAAACCTAATAAAAAAGATCCTCTACCAATTTGCAAATGACAGGTAGATTTCTCAGTTACTAATTAAAAAAAATTAGTGAAAGATTACACGCGATTATCTGCCAACTTTCTTTAATTATTAACAAAAAATCTATATATTATTTGCAAAATGATAGATGACTTTTTTTTTCACTTTGATCAAATGTATAAGCATACGACAGTAAGCATCGCCATTATAACTCGTGTATTGCAACGCGCGCGATCATTCAACAATCTTTTAATCAATAACTCAAAATTTTATGTAGTTGTTCGCAAAACGATAAAAGAATTCAATTTGACCTAACATCAAGCTCCGTAGCGAATTACTAGACATCCTGTATATATAGTTTATTAAATATCAAAGTTAGTGAATCGTATGAATTTTTGTTTCATTATTGTATTTGCAATTATCGGATATCATATGTGAAAAATATATTTCATTATGTAGCGTTTGTATCAATTTTCTGTATAACATTCGTGATTGTTTTAAAACCGTTTTATATAAATAGTACCCATTTAACAGATTATCTTCGGCTACACGAATATTAAAACATCGACAAGAGCGTGTGTTTATCAACGCACCTGATAACAATCGGACTCTTGCTGTTGCGGTGACTGTCGGGTGGTGGTGGTTAGTAAGTTCGATTGCGGACCTAAAGTCGGCTGGCCGAGCGACATGCCCGGCGCGCGTATATTCACCATGTTGTTGATGTTGCTGGTGATATTGCTGGTTTTGTCCATCTCCTCGAGCTCGGATGGATCGAATTTTCGTTTCTTTGGAAGCTTCTTTGCGCTGATAGTTGGATCCGACGGGTCTCGTTGCGGTGGTGCGGGTGGCGGGGGTGGTTGTTTCGGAATAGATTTCTCTTCAATCGAAGCGCCACCACCCCCGCCTGTCCCATATTGCCCGCCCCCGAGACTATCTCGCTTATCGTGCATCTCAGTGTGAGCAGTCAGCATTTTGGCCACCTCACGCTGCTCTAAAAGTTTACGTCCATATTGTATTTCTCTCACTAATATCACTTATCGCGGACAAATATTCTCTCATGAGTCACAAAAGGGTATTCCTCATACCATAATGAACGTCGTATAAACGGATGTATATTTATATAGGTGGATAACGATTGGAAGCCTCAGAAAATAAGTGATAATAAAGATAAAGAAAAGTAATCATAGGAGTAAAATATAGGAGTAAAATGTGTAGTAGTATTCTTTAGGATTAGAGTGCTTTTTTATTGAAAAGTCGATGTCATATTATAGTTGCGTCTTGATCTACTTACAGATACAATTATGTAAAATTACCCTTATCTCGTCTATTTACAATCAGTCAATCTTTGTTCGCACTTAAACTTTGTCACTTATATCGTTTTTTTTTCTAAGTATCTCAATTGATGTTTTAATAATGATATCATTATAAAAACTGATAACACTGATAAAATACAACATATATATAATGAAAAGTCTGTCTTTGTGTGTGTGTGTGTGTGTGTGTGTGTGTGTGACAAAAAACCAACACACAATAATGAAAGAACCAACGAGTACCTGAGCGCAAATTGTAAGCAACAAAATCACTGCACGCGATAACTTCAGGAATCACCGAAAACGTGTTACGAACTGAGGACAAACCGGACGAAATTTAGACAGGCCACTGTTCCGTGATGACTCAAAGTCATTGTGACCACTGCGAGGGTCTTCCTTAAGGATTTAAAAGAACCATGACGTTTCACTTTTCAGCGATATCTATGGCTGCGGTTAGTAACAAACTTGCAACTGCGCTTCGGACCCCGTTGCGTTTAGCCTTTTTCCCTCAACGACACGTTACGTACAAGATGTACTCACAGTCCGTACAGTCGAGAGGAGGCTGCGTGCTGAAATGTGGCGAGTTGTAGCTGGGAGGGTGGTGACACCGGCTGGGTGCATACCTCAGCACCCGGCTGTCGGGGACAGGATGCGTCGAGTCTGGGCTCTCTCGTCTTTGTCTCTCTTGCGACGGGGCTGCTGTCGTACCCTCTCCCAACTCCAATTCTTCTTCCCAGCCCCAACTGCCGAGCATCCTCCTCCGAAAATTCTCTTTTTAGGCAAACACTCGTCTCCTCTTTAATTGTTTCGCGTCTCCACTGAATGTTCTGGAAAGAAAGACGTGGCTTTAGCTCTTCTGTCGACTCGGTCCGCTCGTCTCTCACCCCTCTTTCCCTTCATCCTCACCATTTCCTCTATCTTGTCTACCCATTCTCCCCGATTCGTTTCTTTTTGAGATTTTGGATAACCATTACAAGCGCGGGAATCTTACGAACTGCGTGATCCGCTCGTCCCAGTGAATTTAGAAGAGATGATCGTCACCGCGAAAAAGAGTCATTTTAACAATCTTCTAAGAGTCAAGTAACAAAGATACCATATATTCGATGATATATCCGAAACTCAATTAAAATATACATCGATACATTAGCTACCAGATGTGTTAAGTAAGCTTTTCTTAAAAAGCTCTCATAATACGCGGTCTACGTTTTTATTTTTCAAAGTTATTGATACAGTTATTGATAGAGTTCATAGTTAAATGTCAATAATAAAACTTTTTAGAAGAAGCATAAATATAATTATAATAAAAGATGTAGACCACGTTTTGTCCGTTAAAAAAAAAGTGTTTAAAAAGTTCTTTAAAGTTTTTGAAAAATTAATGAACTAATGCATCTTTGAAAAAATTCAAGTCATCAAGTGGTCTTCTAAAAAAAATTACGATGCGTAAGATTTCGGCGAGGCTGATTTTCAACGCTAAGGAAACCAAAGCGCGAAATTCCAATTGCTGTAATCATCGACTAGTAGTGTGTCTAATCGCTGTCACGGATCGCGAGTAAAAGAACGGAACATACGAAGAAATGCGATGAGGAAGAAGAACAAAAAAGCGGCGGTGATAGCGAGACAAGATCGATTTCGCGATCGGAAATCATGCGTAACTATGGTCAGGTGCGATTATTTCGATTACTACGGACCACTAGTAGTCACAAGAAAACTACCTGTCTTATTGTTGCGACCCCGACGCATCACTCGAATATTTGTAAAAGATAAATTGAAACGTTCGCAAGCTTTTTTCAAGGCTCTCAGAGCAAGCAGGATTGTTTCTAAAAATTGAAAACTGTTGATATTAGGAAGTACTTCGTTGTTCAACACATTCGTTTCCAGTGAAATATCTTTTCGTATAGATTTTATGCAATGATCAAACTATTTTTGATCTTGAAATAGCTTTTTAACGGTTCTATTTCTTTTTTTATTTATTCCATTCAGTTTTGGAAGAAACGCAGTTTCTGGGACAAAACTACTATGAGACGGTCTTTAAAGCGCCTACATTTCTCAACGATAGAATAGCTTTTATCTGAAGAATGACAGTCTTTTATTTGAAACTGACCTGAAAAGAACCTTTATTCAGAATTGTCCTGCGTGTTCCAAAACTACCCTCCGTCCTCACGCATATACAAATACCGATGGTTAAACACTCTAGCTATTCGATCATTTCAGTTTTTCCTGTTCAGTTTTTATGTTAGAAGTGTTAAAACTCTCGGAATATATTTACTCGAATAAAATTACGGTTAGAATAGATCAAAAACTTCGGAGCATCTCTTGTCTAATCATTTAAGCACCATTATTTGGTGCACTCAAATTTTTCATAATTAAAATAATAAATGCGTTTGGTGAAAATTTAGTGAAATTTACTCTACATGCAGTGAAAAAATATCTAATTGCTTATGCAATTAGAAAAAGATTGATTAAAAAATTATCATATGATATTAAAGAACACACACACACACACACACACACACACACACACACACACACACAAAATTATTGATCATTTTGTTTCTAAAATTTTGATTCTTCTAACAATAATTTTTCACTTTAGTTGAGTCCCGTTGCTAGCTGCTAAGAGTCTAGAATTCATATAAAGATGAACAAGATTCTTTGTCAAGTGGGATCTTTATTATCCAGCGGTCTTTACATTTAACGCGAGCTGTTCTATTTGGAAGTAATGAAAATAAGATTATTTTCTTCATTTTAACCTGTCTATTAAGATAATAATATAAGATAATAATAGAAAGATTAAAAAAGAAATAAGATTTTTTCATTTTATTTTCAATGAAATTAGATACAACAGTGGAAAGTTCATAAATTTGTAGTAATATTCGAAATACTTCGAATATTCATGTAAATATTTATTATATTTATGTATCTTTTTTCTTATTTGTATGCCTCTATCAGATTAATTGATGCTTCAATAAATTCATCAGTAAAGTCCGAAATCAGTAAAAATACTCATCAATTAAAAGTAATAGTTTTCTCGTATTTGTATATTTATATTTATCTCAATTTTATTTCAAATTAATAGTGATGCTTAGATAATGAAATATATTTATGGAAATCTAATTTTATTTGACAAAATAGTAAATTTTTTAGTGGCCTCCTTGATGTGCCACTATAAAAAAATACGGTACCTAACGATACGGCACTTACCTTAATAACTTTCGACTAATCCGATATATCAAGATTAGTAGTTAATATATAAATATACTTTGACAAAACAATATGTGCATATCTAATTTCATTGAAAATAAAATGAAAAAATCTTATTTCTTTTTTAATCTTTCTATTATTATCTTATATTATTATCTTAATAGACAGGTTAAAATGAAGAAAATAATCTTATTTTCATTACTTCCAAATAGAACAGCTCGCGTTAAATGTAAAGACCACTGGATAATAAAGATCCCACTTGACAAAGAATCTTGTTCATTTTTATATGAATTCTAGACTCTTGGCAGCTAGCAACGGGACTCAACTAAAGTGAAAAATTATTGTTAGAAGAATCAAAATGCTCCACAATCCTCTACATTGATGCTGTTCAAAGATATACTTTTTGCAACATTGGAGAAGTTCTTTGTATAATTGGAAATTAAATGGCACTCCTTTATTCGATTCCTTGGCATCCAGGGCGTTGAGGAAACTTCTTAAGCGATTTGCCGATTTCAGTAACAGCCTTTTCAGCAACAGATATCACATTTTCAATAGTCTATCATTTCTCTAACAATTAGTTTACAATTCATTACTAGCCGCAAAAAATCTAAAATAAATTAGACTTTTAGTTTGTAACCGTAGCACAGAATCAATAAAGGAAGATCGATGCCTTATATTTCAGAATTTCGAAGTTACAAGTTTTCAGACAACCAATTGTTGTGGCTGACTGTATAAATATGATACAGATAGCAGCCTCCTTCTATGTGTTAATGCTCTCGATGCGATAATTATATATTTTGTTTTGTAATAACTAAAATATAAATATGCAGCAACGTGGCCATCTTGCTCTGGTACTGGTTTTAGTTGCTCAGTAGCCCAAAGAGAACATAAAATATGTATTCTGATTAGTAGATCCGGGATCTCTACGAGAGGTCTTCACAGCCCTCCTGCCGGCCCTTAATTATGGACCAACTTTATCTCGTTCATATGTTCAATCATCTTATGAATACAATTTTTTTATTATTAGTTTATTATTATTATTAGTTTTTTTTTATTATCCGAAACAGTATATCGTACACTTACAAAAAACTTCATTCTCTACTCATACAGCAGAGGTGTCCAAAATATATCACATGGATATCCTAAAGATATATTTGGGATATGCGATATCTTCAAGATATCCTTATGATATATTTGGGACGTTCCTGCTATGTGGGTAGTTAGTACGATAGAAAGTATTAATACAAAATTTCGAGAAACTCGAAGATTTATATTACTATTAAATAAGTTTTTTTTCTATTTTTTAATTGTCATATTATTGTGATTTTAATGAAACTCACAGGAAAAAGTACCTATGGTGTTTACGACAATTAGAGTTAGAGTTTGTTCCACTAGGGCCGAAAATTATGATAGGCACGACCATCTAGTACTTTTGTAGTTTATGACAACTTCTTATTTCTAACTCAATGTCTTAGGAACAAGCTGGAGTAAGAAGTAAAGAACGCGCATTCGACATCAGATAATAATTTCGCAAAATCTCACGATTATATCCATATTTTTTTAGCGTGTGGTAACATTGTTTGTATTTTATTATTTTTTATTGTATGTATTTGTAGATTTTGACTGTATATATATATTTGTATTTTGACTGAATTTCGCAAAAATCTACAAATATACATACAATAAAAAATAAAATACAATAAAATATAAACAATGTTACCACGCGCTAAAAAAATATAGATATAATCGAGAGATTTTACGAAATTATTACCTGATGTCGAATACGCGTTCTTCGTTCTTTACTTCTTATTCTAGCTTGTTTCTATGGTAAGATATTGGCCGATATTCATAGTCGGATCTTATATTTAAGATTATCTTAAATATAAGTTTAAGTTAGCTTAAGTTTATCTTCAGATGATGTACGGGTTATTTCATTGGCTACGGAGTAGCCATCTGAAGATGAACTTAAGTAATCTTAAATATAAGATCTGACTATGAATACCGGCCATTGAGTTAGAAGTAAAAAGTTGTCATAAACTACAAAAGTACTAGATGGTCGTGCCTATCATAATTTTCGGCCCTAGTGGAACTAACTCTAATTGTCGTAAACACCCTATGTTTTAAAAGGATTACTTAACGATTCTGTATCTAATATTGTTCCTCTCAAGATAAATACTAAAGAAAAATACAGGAGCAATACATCTCTAAGGTCATCTAAACCCAGTCTAAGTCCCTACACATACTCTCGAAGTATGGAAAAATTGTCCAGAACACGGATGGAAAAGAGTAATTGATCTCGCAAATTCCGTTGAAAATCAGTTCATAAAGAAAGCAATTGCAGAAATTTAGTTCACGCGGTAGACAACGAGCGTACCGTCGACTATTTTACGCGAGCGTAGTGAAACCGGGCGGATAAAGAGAGGGAAGAAAGGAAACGCGACAGACAAGATAAAGGACGTCACCGACGTTAACGAGAAAGACGGTCGGATGTGCTAGGTGCCACATGTAAAGTAACGGAAAATCCGATCGATTGTCATCTTTAAACTTTATCTCGCGCTACATCTTCCTACTCTAAAAAAAACTATATTATTTGAAAAATAAGTAGCTCTCGTAGACGATCAGAATT